GTGTGTGTGTGTGTGTGTGTGTGTGTGTGTGTGTGTGCGTGCGTGCGTGCGTGCGTGCGTGCGTGCGTGCGTGCGTGCGTGCCGTGCGTGCGTGCGTGCGTGCGTGCGTGCGTGCGTGCGTGCGTGCGTGCGTGCGTGCGTGCGTGCGTGCGTGCGTGCGTGCGTGCGTGCGTGCGTGCGTGTGTGTGTGTGTGTGCGCGTGTGTGTGTGTGTGTGTGTGCGTATCGCTCGTGGCTGGAACTGCGTCTGGCCCGCCGGCCCCAGCAGCGTGGGCCGCCGCTAGGCGTGTGCGCCAGCCCTGGTTTCAGACTTGCGCAGCCTTGTGGCTGGTGTGCATGCAGCCTTGCGAAGCCTTGCGGCCGGTGCGCAGCCTTGCTACGGTGCCCAACCCGGTGCCCAGCTTTGCCATGTGCGGGCGCGGTCTTTGGCGCGCAGCTGGCTGGCGCTGCACTGGTTAGTTGCCGCTGCAGTGGGGGCTCTGCTGCTGTGATTGGCGAGGAGGTCCCCTTTCCCGGCCCCATAGGGATTCGTTATTCGGATCTCGCATCGCCCATCGAATGCATTCGGCGTCCACAAGCCTCGCAAGAAATTAGCAAAAACTCGCGCCACAGTCAGCTGCCAATGCCCCCTCTGGTCAAAGGTGGCGGTGGGTGGTCTGAGTTGCACTTCGACAGTCTTCCCCGCGCGTGCCAACTTCGAGTTTGGTGGAGAGGGGGAGTGTCCACTGCTTGTTTCCGCCTACAGTATTTATGACCAGCTGGTTGAGCTCGCAGCGGCCCACTGACGAAAGGAGTGGGCACCGCGCCGAGAGCAGGTCCACGTCATTTGCCAGCGTGGGGCGGCCTGCGCGGGTGGTGCGCTGCCCGCGGTGTTTTTCGCACGAGCTACGCCCGCCCTGCCGCCTGCTCCACATGTGCCAGAGTTTTGTTCAAGGGCATAAAGAACGCCCCTACCTCGGTTTACGAGGCGCTGTGCGCTGAAACTCCTGTGGGCTGACAGGGTAAACCCTGCGTGATGTGCCGCGTCCTGGCGGCTCTAGGCTTTCGGGGTTCCCAGGAGGTTTACAGACCACGCACTTGTAACCCAGGGTAGGGTCGTTTTTTCATCCTTCAATTTGTGGCAAGAACGCAGGGAGGCAATCCTCGACCCTGAAGCTTGGAGAGCGGGTGCACTGTGGCAAGAACGCAGGGGAACAATCCTCGACCCTGAAGCTCAGAGAGGTGACCGCCCAGTCATGCAGTGATGATCGTGGCACCCGCGGCCTGACAGAGCCCGCCGTTCGGGAGTGCGCTGCCGATATGACAGGACGGCCGAAGCCGACAATCGCCAGCGCTGCCCAGCCAGCCGATGCGCGCAGGAGGTTATCCCACTTGCCAAGGGTGCCTTCGAGGGCGCAAACTTGTTCGCGCAGCGCGATTCGGCTCCGATTCCTCATCCTCCTCTTCTCCTTTGGGGGGCGGCGCGAGAGCGCGAAGTTGTTCGCGTTTCGCGCAGCGCGAAGCGCGAAGTTAGGCGCCCTTGCTTGTGCTGGGGACGGGCGGCCAGCGCGGTCCTGTCTTCTGGCACCCGCGCAGCCTGGCACGGGACAAGCGCAGCCCCGCGGCGACGAGGGCGCAGAAGCTGTCGCCGCCGCCCTCGCCTGCAGGTTGGGCGCAGAATGGTAAGGCTGGGACTTAGAGTTTAAGCAGGCCCTTGCGCTTCCCTGGGTGGTCTCATCATTTCCTCTCGACCCCCCTTATGGTATCATCATATATTTCCTCCAACGTTTTGCGCCATGTCACCCCTGAGTTCTGCGTCGCAGAACTCAGCGTTGCGCTGCACGCTGCGCTGCACAAGGATGCAGCGCGACAGTTGCGGCCCGCCTCTGGCTGTGGCCGAACGCTGTGACCGAGCCGAGGCCGCGGACGTTTACGCAGCATCCGCGGCCAGCTGAGCCGCCGCCCGACGCATTTGGCAAATGGTTTTGTTGCGGATGCCAACAAAAATGCAGTTCATGGTATCCCTCTGGGAGCCAGCGGATCCGCCATGCATGCGGCAGGCATTCGGCGGGCAGAAACAGGAGATGAGCAGGAGGAGGAGGAGGAGGAAGAGGAGAAGGAGGAGTATCAGTGCAAATCCAAGCCTCATCAAAGATGTTGGAATACACCCTCCTTCAAAGCTCCCTTTTCACAGCCTCCTAGAAAGGATTCAATTCCACTGAGGGAAGTGCCCCGTTGGGAGACAACCGTTTGAAAATCTCGAAACGCGTCAAAACAGAATTTTGGGATTCCAGCACGACGAATCAAACTGACTGTTGCGTCTTGGCGATCCTGAGTCGTACCAGGACACCATTCCTGGGATTTCAACACCGTGAATCAAAGTAATTGTTGCGCCCAAACAGTCTTGAACCATTCGGCAACATCCCTGAATCCCTGGTACGTTAACCACGAGAAGCATTGAAGTTCTTGCAGTATGTTACGTAGGACGAGTGCGCGGCGGTAAGGCGAGAGCCAGCTTGAAACGGAACTTCCAACAATCGGTGAAGCTCTGCCAGTAAGCTCTTCCATTTGGTAAGGAGGATGTCCGCGGCGCTACGGCGTGAACCACATTTTGAACGTGGCTGCAGGCGCAGGACGTGCGCAAGAGCAAACTCTTCCAAAAACTGCAGGAGTGCACAGACCGGCGCTGGGGGAGCCTTGCACTGAAGTGGGACCCCCTGGGCAGAAGGTCCACAGGGCGCCCAGCGAAACGATGGACCGACTAAATGTTTATTGTCTCTGTCACATGTTCTGCCACATCTCTGTCACATTTTTCTGTTATATATCTCTGTGCAGTTTCTGTGTCGTCATCATCTACAGTGCAGCATTTTGTGCGAGAATTGTCAAGAACAATGGGTCTGTCAAGAACAATGGGTCGTCATCATCTACAGTACAGCATTTCGTGCGAGAATATTCAAGAATGGGCGGCGGCAACAGAGGAGTGTGTTGCTGCACACGCAGCAGCCCGCGCAGGGCGCGCTCCGGCGCATGCTGCGACCCTGACCTGACCTGACCCGGCCTTCAATCCGTGAGACTCTTGCAAGTTGTTAAGATAATTGCGCGTGGCGCCACGGCGAGAAACACATTTTGAAAACCCTCCCTCAGTCCTTGAAGTTTTTGCACATGTTTAAGACGAATGTGCGCGGCGCCAAGGCGAGGGACACATTTTGGAAGCGGCACGTCCTACATCTGTGAACTTGTTGTCAACTCTCCAGCTTGAGGTTCACAAATGGTAAGGAAATCTCAGGCGAAACGCCCGGCCCACCCTTCAACTGGCCTCGGGGAGCGACAAGGAAAAACTCATGTATGAGGAAAAGGAATGGAGGAGGAAAGGGCAGAGGAAGACGACGACGGCGAGCTGGAGGATGACGCCCAAGGGTTTTACGGATGGCCGGACGGTCTCCCAGGCTCGGGCTACCACCGTGGCGGTTGAGCAGGCCGCCCCAAGCTATACCAGCAGAGCGCCATCAGGCCTCCTCGCCCTCCTGCTCCTCCTCCCCCGTCCTCCTTCTCCCCCTATCCTTCCCGTCCTAGGTACGCAGGACGAAAGATGTTTCTCTTGCGGCGCCAGCGGCGACAAGCGGTTGGCGAGAGAGCATCGGCGCCGTCATGCGCACAGCGTCTAGGCAAGATGCTTGCAGCAGCCCGAGGCAAGGACAGACGACTTCATGTTGGGTGCGAGCCGCGTGCACCGTGCACCGACGCGCGCCCTGTCTTTGACAGTTCGTACCCAAGCCGCCTTCCTCCAGAATCTAATCTTAACAGCGGCGGGCCTGGATGCCGCGGATCCGATCTCCGTCCGTCAGTTGCTTTACCTTAATCGTGTAGATTATGCAGCGTGTAAAGTGGACCCGCGTGAAAAAACAGAACGGGAATCATGTCCACAGCATCCGAAATCGGATCCGCGCGGAGGGAATACGGATCCACCGCAACACAATCCCGAACCACATTCTGATCCGCACCAGTTTAAGTGGATCCGCCATGATTTATTCCATGCGCGCTGGCGCAAGTGCTGTAGGCATCATGTCCGGGCCCAAGAGGAACAACTTTTCGTCCTTGGGATGGATTTTTCTTTCTCCTCTTCATCTTCCTCCTCATCGTCTCCATTATCCACCCCCTCGTCGCCGTCGTCGTCCTCTTCCTGTTCCTCCTGCCCATCGTCACGCTTATCCTCTCAATCCCACTCCTTTCCCTTTTTTCTCCTGCTCCTCATCTTCCCTTCCCTCCACTTCCTCCTGTTTGTCATGTTCGCCCTCTTCCTCCTGCTCCTGCTCCTGCTCCTCCTGCGCCTCCTGCTCCTGCTCTTTCTGGTGGTTGTGGTGCTGCTGCTGTTGCTGCTGATACTGCTGCTACTGCTGCTGCTGCTGCTGCTGCAACTGCTGCTGCAACTGCTGCTGCTGCTGCTCCTGTTCCTCCTCCTCCTCCTCCTCCTCCTCTTCTTCCTCCTCCTCCTGCTTCTCCTCTTTCCATCCTCCCCCTACTCGTCCTCATTTCGCTACCCGTGTGAGGCACAGGTGCTGGTGCTGCCGCCACAACCTGCCCGGCGGCATGGCTGCGGGCTTGCTGCTCGCTGTTGCCACCGTCTTCGCGGCGCCGCTCGGGGGCCACGACCGCGGGGGAGGGAACCCTTGGCTGAGGACGAACCAGGTGGTCACGGACTGGGTGGAGAGCACTTTCTCGGACGGCGTGAGGCAGAGCATGTCGTCGACCCCCGACGGCAGGGAGACGGGCGCAGTCGGACACCGCGGCTACGGCGGAGGCACTGCGATCCAGGAGTATAATGAAGGCCGCCACAACAACGATGATGATGCTGATGATGATGATGATGATGATGATGATGATGATGATGATGATGCTGATGCTGATGCTGATGCTGATGCTGATGCTGATGATGATGCTGATGGTGATGATGCTGTTGCTGGTGCTGGTGCTGGTGCTGATGATGATGATGATGATGATGATGATGATGATGATGATGATGATGATGATGATGATCCCCGTGACTGAAGGGGTCAGGAGCTCCCAGCTCGTGCTGCCCCTCGGACCGAGGCATTTCCCTTTGGCTCTGCGGCGGCAACGCTCGGTCTCGTCCGCCTCAGCGCACCCTCGCAGATTCACCTGAGTGCCAAGAGGCCGCCCACCGCCCCAGCCGAAGCAAGCGGTAGTCACGGCATCCGAGCAGTCACGGCGACTCAGCCCGCTACAGCAGCACACGCGCCAAAGCAGAGCAACAGTCCCCTTGGCACTGGGCCACCTACAGGACATCCCTGCTCTGCGATGGCGTTCGGAGGCGATCCAGAAAGTCGGTAGCAAGCCACCTACACCCTCGGTTCGGCCTCCGCCCTGGCGCGAGAACAGTGCACAAGACAGGCGGGCTGGTACGCAGCAAAGCTGCAGAACCCAAGCGCAGTGCACGGCCCGAGCGAAAGCTAGCAGTGCACCACGGCGGAGCAACACAGTCCTTTGGCACCAGGCCGCACAGACATTGTTGCTCTGCTGATGCTTGCGGAGCTCGATCCCGAACGTCGGTGCAACCACCTACGCCCTCGGTTCGCTCTCCGCTTGACGTGCCAAACGGCACAGACAGAGCAGCGCAGCGAGCCCAGGAAGGCTCGCAAGCTCGTCGCAGGCATTCATGATCCTCGAACCCGTCTGGCAACACGAGCACACGGCACCGCGCTCGGCAGACCGATGGGTCCCGAGCCGCAGGGTGCCACAACTACATTAAGGCAGAGTCCGCGCGAGCGCGGCAGAAGAGATGTGAGAAAGTTGCCGGGACAGATCGCGCCCGTCAGCGGCTGCCGCGCGCCTCGCGGGCTGCGCGCAGCTTGGCGCCCAAGACGGCGCGGGCCCCAGCTATCAGCCCACTGTACCTGGCCCGCAGCGCTACGAGCTCCGCCCGCTCCGAAGGGAACTGCTGCTGCCGCTCGGGCTACTCGGAGTCGCGCTGCTGGTTGACGTCGGACTGCTGCTCGGAGACCGCCTGAGTGTGCCCGCGCATCGGCGTCTCGGCGAGAGCGGGCTCCGATGCAACCTTGTCCTTTGCCTCCGACTCCTGCTCCTGACCCCACAGGGGGTCCGCTCTGAGCGTGCACTCCTCCTCGACGTGCACCTCCCTGGTGGGGCCCGCGGAGCCGATCCCGACCTTCTCCTGGAGGTCCTGCTGTGCAACGACTGGCTGCATGCGCCCGTCACGCTTGACAGCGTACTCCGACGGGTCGCTGCCAAGAGGCTCATAATAATCTTCGGCCTCATCATCATGATGCTCATCACCGTCCTCATCGGGTGGGCTCCTCTCGGGCTCCTCCCGCTCGGGCACTGCGAGGAAGCCATCGCCTTTCGCCTGTGCGACGGGCTGCCGTGCGTTGACGTGCTGCTGGGGCCAGTCGTGCAGCTCATATTCGTTCGCATCGGCCGAGTCCCTCTCGCACTCTACCTCCTTCACCACCGTGGTCGGCGGGCAGGCGCTGGGAGCCTTCGGGCCGCCGTCCCGCCCGAGCTCCTCGAGCCTCCACTGCCACCACTGCGCGCCAGAGGCGAGGGGCTGAGGAACCGCCTCAGGCGCCGACCGCACACGATCCGCGAGGACGAAGGCAGCGCCGCGGGTCTCGGCCCTCTCCTGCATCGCAGCCGTCCTCCATGCTGTGCACGTGGCGGGCTCGGCTGCCTCCGTCGCCTCGAGTGCCCGGGCGCTCGCCCGTACGGCGGCCGACGCCGTCGGTCCTTCCCGCGTGGGCCGACGGCCGCGCCTCCGCCGCCGCCTGGCCGACTCTGGTTCGACGCCTGGCGCCGTACCAACGCCAGCGCCCAGGCTCGCGTCCGTGCACTCTCGTCCTCGCCCTCGTCTTGCACATCGCTCGGCTAGTCGTGCTGGGTGCCGAGGGGCGCCTGCACCTCGCCCGAGCCGAGACCGTCCTCGCCCGTGCGTCCGTCGCCGACGCACTCACCGAGCTCGGGCTTGGACTCGAACCTGACCCCATCAGGCCCGCGATCGCCGTCGTAGCCCTTGATCTCGTGCTGGTTGTGCAGCAGCAAGTGCTGTTGCTCGTTTACGTGCTGCTAGTGCCCGTCATCGTCGTTCTTAGCATCGCCGTTGTAGCCGCACTCGTCCATGGGCGGCACCATGCTGCGGCGCCTCGCTTCCAGGCTGGGTCGCCATCCCGCCTCAGGGGGACGACGGCTGAGAGCCCCCAGATCCCTTGGGGTGACTTTGGCGCCTTCACCGAGGAAGGCGTGGGCCTCGAGGTTCCGAGTCGCCCGCTCGGCGCCCGAAGCCCTCTCGCCGCGGATCAGGCGCGCCAGGGCTGGCCGGATGGCCCGAAGCTGCAGGGCGAGCTCGGCGTCCTCCTCATCGCCAGCTCCGTCTGCAGCCCAGCCCCCGATCAGCTCAGCACCGACGCGCGCGCCGCGGCGGCCACGGCGGCCGCGATGCCGTGCCTCGCAGCGCCCCCCGCTGCCGCGCCTTCTGCTGCCGCTCGAACCTGCGGCGCCAGGGCGGCAGCAGCGTACAGCGCCGCGACTGCCATGAATGCCCGAACAGCGCGAGGCTCGAACGAGCCAACTGATGAGGAAATTGCCCGAACAGCGCGATGCACGAACGGGGAAACCGCTGCCACTCCAACGTGGCTCCTTGAGCCAAAATGCCTACGGACGATGATGATGATGATGATGATGATGATGATGATGATGATGATGATGATGATGATGATGATGATGATGATGATGATGATGATGATAATGATCATCATGATCATGATCATGCTGATGCGGATGCTGATGCTGATGCTGATGATGCTGATGCTGATGCTGGTGCTGCTGATGCTGGTGCTCATGCTGACGATGATGATTTTGATGATGATGATGATGATGATGATGATGATGATGATGATGATGATGACGATCACGCTGATGCTGATGATGATGCTGATGAAAAGATGATGATGACGACGACGATGGTGATGATGATGATGATGATGATGATGATGATGATGATGATGATGATGATGATAGTGATGATGATGATGATGGTGGTGGTGATGACGATGGTGATGATGACGATGATGATGATGATGATGATGATGATGATGATGATGATGATGGTGATGGTGATGGTGATGGTGATGGTGATGGTGATGGTGATGATGATGATTATGATGGTGGTGATGATGGTGATGATGATGTGGATAGAGAGGAGGGGAAGAAGGAAAGGGGGTAAAGAGAAGGAGCGGAGGAGGGAGGATGAAGGTAGAACAGGGAGAAGGACAACAATGAGAAGGACGAGGGGGTCACGACCCGTGGGGGACAAGATCTGTGTGAAGAGTGCGCCGAAATGGGCGGGGGGACGCTGTGCGGTCCCGTCTCCCTCCTTTCCCTTCTTCCGTTCCTCCTCACTCCACCTCCCCCCCTGCCTGAGTCTTTATCATCCTTCCTTCCACCTGTATACTCGCTTCTCCCCTCTTCCCTACTCGCTACTCTCTCTCTTCTCCCCCTTTGTTTGCGAATAAGACTCGATGGCACTTGCGGCCCCCAGCCTGGGTTCACCCAGAGTTTTCCTCGCGGTCTCCGTCCTTGGGATCTCTGAGTTCTCGGGGCTCCCTTGGTTCGTTCGGCATTGCATTGCATTGCATTGCATTGCATTGCATTGCATTGCATTGCATTGCATTGTATTGTATTGTATTGTATTGTATTGTATTGCATTGCATTGTATTGTATTGTATTGTATTGTATTGTATTGTATTGTATTGTATTGTATTGTATTGTATTGTATTGTATTGTATTGTATTGTATTGTATTATGTCGCATGTTCATTTTGTTCGTGCTTGAAGTTGCTTTGGTTCACATTGCTATGTTTTTCCTTGAACCGTGTTGCATCGCATTGCCTTGCGTTTACTTTGCATTTCATTGCCCTCGCATCCGTTGTTCGTAGCAATGCGTTGCATTGCCCTACCATTGCACTGATTACATTCCTTTCGCTGCTTTGCATGTATTCGCATTCAGCTGTATGGAAGCGTCCCCGTCGGCAATAAGTTTCTGGCCGGCCGTCGCTGGGAGTCGAAGCCTCTTCCTCTGCGCAAGGGCGGCGGAGGCGAAGCGAGGGCGCCTCCGCCGGCGGAAGGCAAAGTTGCGCCCCCAGTGGATGCCAACTTTTTGGGGATTCCAGGGTATCTGGAACCCGCGATGTGGAGCGAAGGCGTGCAATCGGGGCCAGGCGTATCGGGGCCAGGGATATCGGCCAGAGGTCCCTGGCCAATCGTACCGCCTGAAATCCCCTGGTCCCTCACTGCCTTCCTCCCTCCCCGGGGCCTCCCCTCCGCCTCCCATCCCTCCCTCCGCATCCCTTCCCTCCTTCCACCTCCCTTCCCACCCTCCACCTCCCTTCCCTCCCTTCGCATCTCTTCCCCCCTGCCCAGGCTATCCCACCTCGCACAACGACAGTAGCCAGAGCGGCCAGTCTATCGCGCCTTGTGGCCTCTTGAGCCCAGGTTCGAAGTGAACCCCACCCTCCCCCTCAGAAATCGTGGGGGGCAGGGGTGGGGCTCGCATGTGGCCCCCTACTGGTCCAGGAGGCCGCGCACCGAAAGGGCCCGGAGCGCCGGACGTCTGGGTCCCGTCCCTCTGCCGACCCGTGTTGTGGGAGCCAGGTCTTGGCCAGCCGTGGGCTCGCGGCGTGGCCCCGGGCAGGGCTGGACCTCAGCGGTGTTTTGGCGATTTCGTGGGCCGTTTTCGTTTCGATTTCGTTTGGCGTTGATGGCGGATTGAAGACAGAACGAGGGAGCACGAAAACAAGACGAAAACGAAAGACACTGTTCAGGTTCAGTAGGGCTGGACCTGAACGCTGCTTTGCTGGACCTCGGCTGCGTTTTGTGTTTCGTTTTGGCAGGGAGGTACAGTAGAACAGGTGCAGAGCAGAACGAACAAGAGAGCGAAAGCGAAACGAAAAACAACGTTTAGGTCCAGCCCTGGCCCCAGGGCCCATCTCGATCCGATCGGCCCGATTCGAGGTCGATTCTGGCCTGCCCGATCCGACTCGGTCCGGGCATTCCAGCGATCCGCTGCGGCCCGAGGCCTGCGGGGCGCTGCCGTGCATCCGGGCACGGCGGGTCCGATTCGGCTCCGACGCCGTGGCGATGCAGCCCGATCCGACGCGCCGCTCGATCTCGACCCGATCTCGCGCCTCGATGCGCCTGACAACGGATCTGTGAGGCCCCGCTCGAGTGGACCTGCCATGAGACTGCGCTTCCCTCGTTGGCACAGAGACCGCTGGCGGCGCTCGTGTTGCCTGCGAAAGCTTTCTGCTTTCACGAAGACCCTGTGTGGCGACTTACCCAAACTCTTCCCAGGGTTTTGAAGGAGCCCGATGCTCTTGGACACGCGTTGATGGTGTCCTGTGTCGAGGGTTCCGACGCCCCCGTTGTGTGGAGCGCAAACTGCAGGCGCCTCTGGACCATGAAGGCACTTAAGTTTGGGCAGAGGTCAACCGAACCGTAGGTCCGAGGAAAGACGACAGCTGCTGAATGGCAAGCTGCCGATGACTCCATGTTCGTTGCACTTCTCCCTGCCTATCAACGGTCGTCTTTTGGGCCAGTGTAGGTATTTTGCCGTAATAGAAAGCCCTGCATCGTGCATAAGTGATGCGTTGTACACTGTATGACTTATCGCTTCGGTGTCCGCGGGTCTCCACACGATGAGGATAAGGTGGTGGTGGTGGTTCTGCGCCTTCTTCACGTCTACTACGTGGTGCGCCGCCTCAGGCCGCTAAGTGCCGCTAAGTACCGCTATCACCGGGGAGCCTGGTAACATGAACAAGGTTCTCTAGAAGGAGGAGGAGGAGGAGGAGGAGGAGGAGAAGGTGGGGATGGCGGTGGTGGAGGTGCTGAAGGAAGAAGGCGGATCCGCAGGATGATACACTTGTTGATCTATGCGCGTCGTGATTGCACCGTGGTCATGATAATTACATGTTCTTTGCATCTGGCCAGTTTTTACTGATGATCCTCGAAGGTAATTCGAAGCGCTTCTTGCAGACGCTCAAAGAGGAGGGGGGAATGCGAAGAGGGAGCAACGAGGATGAGGGGTAAGGGAGGAGGATTGGTGGAGTATCAGGAGCGGCGGGGAACAAGAGGAGGAGGATGAGGAGGACGAGGATGAGGAGTAGGAGAGGAATGCTGGTGGTGGTCGTGATAATGATGACGATGCTGCTGATGATGATGATGCTGGTGGTGGTGGTGCTGGTGGTGTTGATGATGATGATGCTGCTCATGATGCTGCTCATAATGATGACGATGACGATGACGATGACGATGACGATGACGATGATGATGCTGATGATGATGCTGATGATGATGATGGTGATGGTGATGGTGAATGTGATGACGATGGTGATGATGATGATGGTGATGATGATGCTGATGATGCTGATGATGACGATGATGATCATGGTGATGATGCTGATGATGATGATGGTGGTGGTGCTGCTGCTGATGATGATGGTGGTGATGATGATGGATGATGATGACGATGATGATGATGATGATGATGATGCTGATGCTGATGATGATGATGCTGATAATGGTGATGATACTGATGGTGGTGATGATGATGATGATGATGGTGATGATGATGGTGGTGGTGATGATGGTGGTGGTGCTGCTGATGATGGTGCTGATGATGATGCTGCTGATGATGCTGATGATGCTGATGATGATGCTGGTGATGGTGATGGTGATGATGCTGACGGTGATGATGATGATGATGATGATGATGATGATGATGTTGATGGTGGTGGTGATGATTATAATGTTTATGATCATGATGATGATGATGCTGAGGATGATGATGCTCAGGATTATGATGCTGATGCTGATGATAGTGGTGGTGGCCATGAACATGATGATGACGATGATATTGATGATGATGATGATGATGATGATGATGGAGCTGGTGCTGCTGCCGATGATGATGCCGATGATGATGATGATGATGATGATGATGATGATGATGATGATGATGATGATGAGTATGCTGATGCTGATGCTGATGCTGATCCTCATGTTGATGCTGCTGCTGCTGCTGATGATGATGATGCTGATGGTGATGCTCATGCTGATGATGATGATAATGATGGCTGTGGTTTTGGTGGTGATGAGGGTCAGGATGATGATGCTGCTGATGATGATAGTGATGATGATGATGATGATGATGATGATGATGATGATGATGATGATGATGATGATGATGATGATGATGATGATGATGATGATGATGATGATGATGATGATGATGATGATGATGATGATGATGATGATGATGATGAGGAGGAGGAGGAGGAGGAGAGGAGGAGGAGGAGGAGGAGGAGGAGGAGGAGGAGGACGAGGACGAGGACGAGGACGAGGACGAGGGACGAGGACGAGGACGGCGAGGAGGAGGAGGAGGAGGAGGAGGAGGAGGAGGAGGAGGAGGAGGGGGGGAGGTGGGCCCAAGCAACTAACAGCACGAGTTTGACAGGAGGAGGAGAGGGAGGAGGAGAGGAGGAGGAGGAGGAGGAGGAGGAGGAGGAAGAGGAGGAGGAGGAGGAGGAGGAGGAGGAGGAGGAGGAGGAGGAGGAGGAGGAGGAGGAGGAGTTGGCGGAGAGGCATTGCGCTCCCCCTTCTCCTCCCTCTCTTCCCTCCTTCCCCCCCTGGGGGAGCGACCGCAGCCCGTTTTGCCCAGGGCACCGCGGCCGGCCATGAGCTGAGGCGCCGCGGCCTCCTAGCGCTCTCCGCGAGGGGCCGCGGTTGCCCGGGCGGAGCGGGGGCCCTCAGGGTGGCCTTCGCGACGACGACCAGGCCAGCGCCCCCCCACCCTCGACTAGACGTACGAGTGACCTTTCGCCGGAGTAACCTTTGGTGCGGGCCCAAAATCGGGGTCCCCCGACCGCTGAGCGCGAAGTGGTGGCCGCGGCTTTCTTGCCCAGTTTTGGCCACCCCGCGTCCCCCGTTAAGCCGCGCACCACAGGTTACTATTGCCTAGGGTCACTCTTGCGTGTAGCCGACCCCCGCCCTCCCCCCCTTTCTCCGTGGCAGTCGTAGGGGGTCGTTTGGGGGTCTCCGTTGTCCCCCCCCCTCCTTCCTCCTTTCTCCTCTCCCTCCCTCCCTCCTCTCCCCCTCCTCCTCCTCCTCCTCCACCTCCTCCTCCTTCTCATCATCATCATCATCATCATCATCATCATCATCATCATCATCATCATCATCATCATCATCATCATCATCATCTTCATCATCTTCATCATCTTCATCTTCATCTTCATCTTCATCTTCTTTATCCTCCTCCCTCCTCCTTCTCAGTCTCGTCCTCGTCGTCCTCATCATCCTCCTCCTGCTCCCCCGAGGCTTAAAAAGCTGCCTGATTGTTTTGCAGACTGCCCGAAGAAGAGAGAGCGGCATACACATGATCCTTCGGATGTCCGCGTGGATGTCCGGCGTGAACCTGAGAAACCCGCGTTGATCCGAAAGTTGACGTATGTTTAGGCAGATGTTGTTCCTCTACCCCTGCCCCCTAACCGACTCCCCCACGGGGCGATGGAGGAGGTAAGACTGTCCAGGGATATTCCTCATCCTCCTCCATCCTCCTCGGTCTACTTGCCATCCCGCCTCCCTCCTAGTTGTTGATGCTTGTTAGCTAATGGTAACGTTTTGCCTCCAGGGCCCACCTGAGTCACTAACCCTCCTCTTCCTTCTTCTCGCTCCCTCATCCTCCCTGCCTTCCCTCCTCCTGACCTCCCTTCCGCCCTCTCTCCTCCTCGTCCTTCGAGATTCGAGCTGTTGGCACGTGTATCCTTCGCTCCTCCTCATCATCCTCCTCCTTCCTCCTCCTCCTCCCCTTACTTGTCCTCTGCCGTCCGCTCCTCCTGCCCCATGTTGACACCGAGGTTCTGGGCCCGACCAATTTCGAGCTGAAAGTCAGCCCCTCTTGGGGCCATTTTGGGAGCTTTCGGTGTCGCCTTTGGGCCCTTCTTGGCGCCTCTTGTGGCCATCTTCGCCCAGAGCCCGACGTATCGCGTCTTGGAGCCCTCTTGGGGGCGTCCCTGGCTTCTTGTCCTTTCGCCCGGGTCCTCCCGCACCGCCTCCTCTTCTCTCTGTCGCCCCTCCCGCCGTCCGTCCTCCCGCCCCTGTCATGGCGCCAACATCGCAGAGCGGATTTCGCTCGGGAAACCATAGAATGGGCCCGGAGTGTCCTGGAGAATTTCGTTTCGGATTTCGAAGTGAATTCGCGCGGGTACTTTTTTCGCGAGAATTGAAGATCTAACAAATATCCACATGAAATTCACTTCGTGGTTCGCTCACCACTTCGGTGTCTTGCGTTGACAGAACTCTACGCAAAAATCCGTTGCAGCACCTCTGCAAGCTCGTTGCAGTGTCGCTCTGTTCCATCCCTCTTCGCCTCTCTCCGTCTCCCGTGTCGACGCCTGCTGACCCTGGCCTCGAAGTTCCCTCGGCCGCCACGGAGGCTCGCCCTCGCTGGGCCCCGTTGGGCCTAGGGGGGGGGAACCCGAGCAGGGCATCATGGTCTATTTGGAGGACTTCGAGGAGTTCCAGGCCGCCTCGCAGAGCCTGTTCGCGTCGGACCCGCTGAAGACGAGGTGCCCTGACGAGAAGGAGGAGTGCAACAGGGCGGAGCAGGAGAAGAGAGCAGGAGGATCAGGAGACGGAGGAGGAGGAGGAGGAGGAGGAGGAGGAGGAGGAGGTGGAGGAGAGAGCAGGAGGATCAGGAGACGGAGGAGGAGAAGGAGTCGGAGCAGCTTCAGGTTGGCCGCTGTGTCGTCCCCGCCGTCCTGTCGTCTTCCCCCTTGGTTTCGCTGAGGGGCGTGGCTACAGCCCCCGGGGGTCCCTCCTCACCTGCGTGGCTTTATATTTTCACATACGCAGGCCAGATCGTATACACCCAAGCCACCCACACACACACACACACACACGCACCCACACCCACACCCACACTCACCCCCCCCCCCCCTTCCCCCCCCTTACACACACACACACACACCCACACACACACACACGTCCTGGTTCCTTATGATACCCCCACCTACCTCGTATTCCGGCCGATGGCAACCCAATCCGGGACCTCCCATCCGGACTGTAAAAAATCAATACAATGTGGCCGTTTTTCTTCTCAACATCGTCTTTCTTGTCGTCGACGATGCGAAAAGCATGGCAGGAATGGGACGCGGCGCACATCGCGCGCGGCAGTCAATCTGGGCCCGCCCATCCTGACTGTAAAAAGTCAATACAAAGTCTTCGTTGTTTCCTCTCAGCATGGCCTGCCTTGTCGCCGACGGTGCGAAATATGCGGCAGCAATGGGACGCGGCGCACATACGGGACGCGGCGCACATCGCGCGCGGCCGTCAATCCGGGCCCGCCCATCCTGATTGTAAAAAATCAATACAAAGTCTTCGTTTTTTCCTGTCAGCATGGCTTGCCTTGTCGCCGACGGTGCGAAATATGTGGCAGGAATGGGACGCGGCGCACATCGCGCGCGGACGTCCAGGCGGGCTGCGGGCCCTCCCATCCTGACCGTAAAAAACAATACAGAGTTGCCGTTGTTCCTTTCATCATGGCCTGTCTTGTCGTCGACGATGCGAAATGCGTAGCAGGAGTGGGACGCGGCGCACATCGCGCGCGGACTTCTGGGGCAACCCCAACGCGGGAGGGGCCACCTTACTTGTCAGAAACAATGCCATGCTGATTTTCCCTGCCCACATAGCTGTTCTTGTCGTCCACCCCGCAAAAGTGCATGGCAAGAATTGGGCGCGGCACACCCCCCTCCCCCCCCGCTCGAAGTGAATGAAATGACCTTTGCTTGGGCGCCGAGCGAAATTTTCTCAAAGTTGCGCTCCCGCTTTGGCTCGGCGCAAGCTCGCCAATTCATTGGGCGCCGGGGCGTTGCCATGCTGATTTTCCCTGCCCACATAGCTGTTCTTGTCGTCCACCCCGCAAAAGTGCATGGCAAGAATTGGGCGCGGCACCCCCCCCTCCCCCCCCGCTCGAAGTGAATGAAATGACCTTCTCGGTTGGGTGCCGAGCGAGATTTTCTCAAAGTTGCGCTCCCGCTTTGGCTCTGCGCACGTTTTTAGCTCGCCAATTCATTGGGCGCCGGGGCGTTCCAGGAGGCCCTGGGGTGACGAATGCCTGGGAGGTTTTTGCTTGTTCACGCTCTTGGAGGGCCTCCTGACGCTCCCCGCGGTTTCTTGGCGCTACGGCCGTCTGGATGCCATCTTGGGTCTCTTGGAACAATGTTTCGGCGACTCAGGGCTACTACTACTACTACTACTACTACTACTACTACTACTACTACTACTACTACTACTATTACTACTACTACTACTACTACTACTACTACTTACTGCTACTAGTACTACTTACTACTATACTACTAACTTTAATTTACTTACTACTACTACTACTAATACACGACTACTACGACTGGGTACTACTGAATACTACTATACTACTTCTACTACACTTTACTTGCTACTACATACGACAAACTATACTTGCTTCTTACTACTACTACTAATACTACTAGTGGTGTATTATTACTACGACTACTACTACTACTACTACTACTACTACTACTACTACTACTACTACTGCTACGACTACTACTTACCACTACTACTACTACTACTACCACCACTACTACTACTAGGACTACTACTACTACTACTACTACTACTACTACTACTACTACTACTACAACTACTACTACTACTACTACTACTACTACTACTACTACTACTACTACTACTACTTTACTACTACTACGACTACTACTACTACTACTACTACTACTACTACTACTACTACTACTACTACTACTACTACTACTACTACTACTACTACTACTACTACTACATACTACTACTACTACTACTACTACTACTACTACTACTACTACTACTACTACTACTACTACTACTACTACTACTACTACTACTACTACTACGACTACCACTATGCGACAGCACCCAGTTGCGCCAGCATTGTTTCTTTTGTTGTGGGGGGGCGGAGCGTGTCCGTTGTTCCGTTCAACATGGCCAGTCTTGTCGTCGACGGTGTGCGAAATTCATGGCGGGAATGGGACGCGGCGCACATCCCGCGCGGACGTCAATGCGGTGTCCTGGGGTATCCTCCACTCGCACTGAAATGCCCGCGCAACCCCCAGTTGTGCCATCACTGTTTCTTATGTTGTGGGAGGGCGGGTGGGAATGGCCATGCCATGCTTGATTCGCTCGAGCTGGCTAGCTTGACCCGCACCCACACCCGCACCCACACCCACATCCTTGTTCTTTATATACATATAACGGCGCACCGGGTCCGGGGGCCCGGGGCCGGGACCTCGACCGCAAATGTGGGTTCCGGGGCTCATTTTCTTTGTGATTTTACAGGGTTTCGGCGTCAAGGAGGGTCCAAGAGGCTCCAGAACAGACGCCGGACGCCCGAAGGTCGTTCTTAGACGCCTAACATGGCCTCGAAGACACTGTCAGAAGTCCCCAAGACATTCCAAGCGACACCAAATAGGGCCCCAAATACAGTTTCAAGCGGCCAGAATAGCTTCATTCTCTTTGTAAAACATACATTTTTAACACATTGCTTTTTTTCGCTGTCGGTACGGCTCACGAAGGGCCCAAGACGTTCGCAAACGTGGGCTCCGGGGATCTCGGGGAGCCCGAAAGCCTCACAGAAGACTGCGAGAAGGCGCCAAGGAAACACCAAGAAACTCCCAAACAGACCCAGGACGTCCGAAAATCGCTGCCAGACGCCCAACATGGTCTCCAAGATTAGCTTCCGAAGCCTCCAAGACACCCCAAGCGACCCCCAACAGGGCTCTGAAGAGAGCCGCAAGGAGCCAACATCGTTTCATTCCTGTGGGAAAACGTATATTTTTCGTATGTTCGCCTGTTGGGCTGTCATCGCGTAGAAGTTCCCATGACGGCCTAGGAGGCTCCCAGAAGACATCGGTCACGCGAAAGAGCTCTCGTGTGACCGACCTTGGGCCTCTCTTTCGCTCAACTCGGGGGCCCAAGACTCGCCCAAGAAGGCCCCAAGAGGGCCCCGAGAGCGCCCCAAGAGAGTTCCGAGGTGGCCCGAACAGTTGTCACGCGACAGAGCGCCCGCGTCACCGACCTAGGGCCCCTCTTCCTGTCATCTTGGAGTCCCAGTGGGAACCCAGACTGCACCCGAGAGGGCCATATCAATGCCCCAGGCGAAGCGCCTGAGAACGTCCCAGGTTGGCTTACGTGGCTTCCGAACTTCCGATATCTTTCCAAGATGGATACTTCCTTCACTGACCCCTTTTTCGGCAATCTTGGAGCCCCGATGCGAGCCAAAGGTGGCCCCATCAGGGCCTGCGAGAGAGTGCCAAAGGGGTTCAAGAGGACCCCAAGACCGTCCCAACATCGGTCACGCGAAAGAGCGCTCGCGTGAACGAGCTTAGGCCAATTTAGCAGGGGGGTTGAAACGCGATCCCAAGAGCGGTCACGCGAAAGAGCTCCCGCGTGACCGAGCTTTGGTTGTTCTGTCGGCCATCTTGGAGCTCCAGTAGGGGACAGAAATGGCCCCAAGAGGGTCTTGATGTGGGCCCGATTAAGACTCCAAGAGAGATCCACGAGTGCCCAACATAGATCACGCGATAGAGAGCTCGCGTGACCAGCCATGGGCT